ACCTTAAATAGTAGAGAATAATTGAAGGGGTAAGTGGAGGGATCGTTTTCAAGGGACCCTTCCGTTTAAACGGGATCATAAACCATTCTTTAAACTCAAGTCATATAAATCACATTTTGTTAAATGGGCGTATGAAATAAAGTTGTCTTCATTTCTAACTACCATCATTAAAGATTCGCTAAAATTCCAAATGAGGGCATGGTTTAATTGTTTACAATACAGACATGTCACCTTCTAGTGAACACATGAAATATATGTCAACGCTCTGCCGGTACATTTGCTCGCAATAAAGAATAGATAGGTAATTAGTAGCGGTCGGCCTCCTGTTGTTCTATTTTACAGGTATCAAATTATCCACATGGACAATTTGATCCTTTTGAAGAGTTTAACAACAGGTAAACACGTGCATACATTCTTTACTCTGTCATCTAAAATGCCTTCTGACCTATCCAGGGTGGTTTGAGAATTCTATTTGCGGGATATTTTTTTTATCAAAGTACAGATCATTACATTTCGTTTTAACTTGTAACTTTTGTTTTATGTTGAAATATGAGCAACTTTTAAATACATATTCATTTTTTAAAGATAAATTTGGATGACTAATAATGATCAACCCAGATGAAAAAAATGATGCTATGTGTATAAGTTTATTTTAGGACCATGATATTTAATATTCCTTTTGCAGCGATTTTAAGAAATTTTTTACAAGTTAAGATATAATACATGTACACATGTTCTAGTATATGCTGGTATGTATTGCAGGCGATGTAAGTCTTTGATTAGGTCTGCAATTAAGAATGCAAGGTCTTAAAACGAGTTCCCTGAAATATAATAGCTATTACACCGATATAATTTTGATTTTTTTGCTGTGTCTCCTTTTCCGTAATGTTACTAAATAAAAGTGTTTTTAGCTCACCTGAGCATATGCTCAGGGTGAGCTATTAGGATCACTCTTCGTCCGTCGTCCGTTGTACGTCGTCCGTCGTCCGTCGTACGTTGTCCGTTCACACTTTTCAAACGACATCTCCTCTGAAACCATAAGGCAGATCACAATGAAACTTTACAGGGATGTTCCTTGTGTGAAGCCTTAACAAAGTTGTTCAAAGAATTCCATTCCATGCAGAACTTTGGTTGCCATGGCAACCAAAAGAAAAAAACTTTAAACATCTTCTTCTAGAAAACCCAAAGAGCTAGAGCTTAGATATTCGGCATGAAACATCTTCTAGTGAGTGTCTACCAAGATTGTTCAAATAAAATCCCTGGGGTCAAAATTGGCCCCGCCCCAGGGGGTCATTGATTTTCCCTATATGCATATAGTAAAAACTTAAAAAAATCTTCTTTTAAAGTACCCAAAGAGCTAGAGCTAAGATATTAAGCATAAAACATCTTCTAGTGAGTGTCTACCAAGATTGTTCAAATAAAAGCCCTGGGGTCAAAATTGGCCCCGCCCCAGGGGGTCATTGATTTTCCCTATATGCATATAGTAAAAACTTAGAATCTTCTTCTGAAAAACCCAAAGAGCTAGAGCTTAGATACTTGGCATGAAACATGTTCTAATGGATGTCTACCAAGTTTGTTCAAATAAAAGCCCTGGGGTCAAAATTGGCCCCGCCCCTTGGGGGTCATTGATTTTCCCTATATGCATATAGTAAAAACTTAAAAAAATTTTCTTTTAAAGAACCCAAAAAGCTAGAGCTAAGATGTTTAGCATGAAACATCTTCTAATCGGTGTCTACCAAGTTTGTTCAAATAAAAGCCCTGGGGTCAAAATTGGCCCCGCCCCAGGGGGTCATTGATTTTCCCTATATGCATATAAGAAAAACTTAAAAAAAAATTTCTTTTAAAGAACCCAAACAGCTTGAGCTAAGATATTTAGCATGAAACATCTTCTAATGGGTGTCTACTAAGTTTGTTCAAATAAAAGCCCTGGGGTCAAAATTAGCCCCGCCCCAGGGGGTCATTGATTTTCCCTATATGCATATAGTAAATACTTAAAAAATTTTCTTTTAAAGAACCCAAAGAGCAAGAGCTAAGATATTTGGCATGAAACATCTTCTAAAAAGTGTCTACCAAGATTGTTCAAATAAAAGCCCTGGGGTCAAAATTGGCCCCGCCCCAGGGGGTCATTGATTTTCCCTATATGCATATTGTAAAAACTTAAAAATTTTCTTCTAAAAAACCCAAAGAGCTAGAGCTAAGATTTTTGGCATGAAACATGTTCTTATGGGTGTCGACCAAGTTTGTTCAAATAAAAGCCCTGGGGTCAAAATTGGCCCCGCCCCAGGGGTCATTGATTTTCCCTATATGCATATAGTAAAAACTTAAAAAAAAATCTTTTAAAGAACCCAAAGAGCTAGAGCTAAGATATTTAGCATGAAACATCTTCTAATGAGTGTCTACCAAGTTTGTTCAAATAAAAGCACTGGGGTCAAAATTAGCCCCGCCCCAGGGGGTCATTGATTTTCCCTATATGCATATAGTAAAAACTTAAAAAATCTTCTTTTAAGGAACCCAAAGAGCTAGAGCTAAGATATTAAGCATGAAACATCTTCTAATGAGTGTCTACCAAGATTGTTGAAATAAAAGCCCTGGGGTCAAAATTGGTCCCGCCCCAGGGTGTCATTGTATTTAACTATATGTGTATAGTAAAAATTAAAAAAAATGTTCTTTTAAAAAACCCAATGAGCTAGAGCTTAGATGTTCAGCATGAAACATCTTATGGGTGTCTACCAAGTTTGTTCAAATAAAAGCCTTTGGATTAAAATTGGCCCTGCCAGGGGTGGGGGGTGGGAAGGTCATTGTTTTTCATTTTATGTGTGTATAAAAACTTAACATCATGAAACATCTTCTAATCGGTGTCTTTCAAGTTTGTTCAAATAAAAGCCCTGGGGTTTAAACTGGCCCCGCTCCAGGGGCCTATATACAGGTGAGCGACCTCAGGGCCATCATGGCCCTCTTGTTTATGTTTTTTTTTATTTTTTGTTTGTTTTCGTTTTGCTTTGCTTTAAGAAAAAAAAAACAAAACACACGTTTTACATAAATGTAGTCATTATACATGTAACATTTGATACAGTGATTAAGGACACACTACATTATTTAATCAGCTTGAAGTTAAAGGAATAGAATGGAATGATGCCATATTATAAATATTATAAAACACCCCATACACTATATGTCAGCGAAAAATTAAAGATGTAATAAATAAATAAGTTAACCAATAGATAAAATAATAAATATAAATAAATAAATATGTATTTTTGTGCTATTCTTTACCAAATTTGAGTTTCAATTTTTGGTCTTTTTTCACAATTAGAATAATTATTCTGGATACACAGAGTGAGCAAATGATCTAAAATTTTGCACACACGTTATTTGTCTAGAGCGACTTCAAATGGAACATTAATATTGAAAAAGTATTGCTAGTCCCTCCATGTAAAAACCTCAGTGATGTCACTTTAACGAAGCTTAGAACATTCTTCCGTACACCACCCATTCATCACTGTCTTAATAAATATCTCAACCATTTGTTTTGTGTAAATGAATATCTCGACCAATTTAACAGATGTTAAAGAACCAGACATTTTTATTCAATTTACAAGCGGAGAAGTAAACTTGCAGTTAACTTTGAGATATACAAGGGTCAGTTCCCGCAATTACGTTAAACTTTGTTCAGAATATTCTTGTTCCCCTGTTGCCTTCAAATCGTGCATCAACATGAGAAATATCTGCAAATGATGCACTTGATGCAGGTAACGAGAAACAGATTAATTTTAGATTATTTAAAAGATGCAAGAATTGTTATTGCTTATAAATGAAGCGATAAGTTTTGTAAATATTTGTTTCTACCGGTATTTATACTAAGTGCTGACACAGCTATAGTGGGTATAAACTGGTGCAGATTTATTCAGTGCGATAAATAAGCACCAAATAGCTGCAATTAATAAATGCCTTTAGATATGTTGATGTTATGAAAATAGAAGAATAAATTGAATAAATTAACACGTTTGCTTGTGCGATTACATATTCTAAAAGAAGTAAAAAGTATGGTATAAAGGGAGGTATTTTCAAAAGCAGAAACAATGCTGCAAAGAAATGATGTTGACAATACATAGATATAAATGAAAACGCTCGGTGATTGATTTTCTACTTTAAAATTTGATTTTCACCATCAGTTAATTTGTCAAAACGAGATAAGCAGTTACTTCGTTGGATTCGATATAATTACATTTTGCATGCTGAACAATATAAACATAATACATTTTGGGATTGGGCAGAAAGCTATGAACGCTTATGGGTGTCTTTTCCCAGTTGTAACAGTTAACATATGTACAGTTCATGACATTATCATTCACAAAGTTCGTTCAGTTGAAAGTACATTTGTATATCAATAGCGTTTACAGAGAAAATTGTTATTTTGTAATTACACTTTTAAGACCAAAAGGACAAAACGAAAAATATATAGAAAAAAAATGAAACAAAACTGAGAGGAAAATATGACTTTGTAAGACTTGAGTTTTTGAAATATGAGCTATTGGAATAATAAGAGGAAATTTCATTGTAATAACTGTTTAATGGTCGTGTATATATAAATTTAACTTGCAGTAACCTTATGTATTTGAAAAACATTGATATATATCACAGCTTCCCCCTTAAGTAAAACAAAAACACTCTTGTCGTATTAAAAAACCAAATTGTGGACCAGAAATAAATGTGTAATGAATGCGTAAAAGGTCAGTCATGCAAATAAATGTAAAATAATATATTAGTTCACTTTACGGTCAGCCTGCATTGCTTTAAGATATTAGAATAACAAACCCAAAAAACCCAGCATGATAACATTTTAGTAAATAAATCAAAAGGAGTGAAATCTCAATAGTGATCTTATAAGCGGTACACATATTTTGCATTTTTTCTGCCGGAACACTAAGGTCATTACAAAAGTAAGCATAACTTTTATGTAATATATGGAAAATAAAATCATGAACTCTTTTTGTATTCAGGTAGGGTATGGCTCTCTGGGTTACATTGCCGTGGAAACGAACGTCACGTTACTATGTGCTATTCTCGTGGGTGGGGTAATCACGATGGTCGCTGTAAAGGTTACTGGACGTCTGCTGGTGTTGTATGTAACAGTAGAAAATTAACAACAACAACAACTACTACTACTACTACTACTACTACTACAACTCGACCGACAACAACCACAAAGAGTACTACGACAACGACCACTCCAAAGCCAACAACAACAACTAGGACAACCACCAAAAAGCCAACAACACCAAAACCTACAACAACAACAACTACTACTCCAAAGCCAACACCAACAACACAAAAAACCACAACAACAACGAAGAAGCCAACGCCACCTCCACCTGCGTACAATAAATGGATCTACGACAGAGAAACATATCGATACTTTATGTACTTTAGAGACGGTTCCTTTATAACATCCGCTCCTGACCCAAGGTACACATATATCTGTGTTTTTGCATTCTTTGTTAAAATACCTGAAAATACTAGCTAAATCTTCATTTCAATATACATTTCATTTCAATTACATGTTTCAACATGTTCATGCTTATAGAATTTTTTTTTTACTTGAGTAAAATGGCACAAGCTTTCTTACTTTGAGACAATATGCCACCATAATGGAATAGCACAAACATTTCATATAGAACGTTTCATGATCACCGCCACATGTGTATTTTCCTAATTTTCATATTTAAATGTTGAATTGTGCTAAAGGCAGTATTAGGAGACGCTGACAGTATCGTTCATGAAACAATTTGAGTCTGCAATATCTATGGCAGAATGTAAGGACAGAAATGACATGAACAACTTTGATGATAAATTCGATAGCTTGGTAAAACACTTGATATAAATAAAAACAACAATAATAAAAAAATCGATAATGCATTTGGCAATTTAAAATTTAAAATATGCAGGTACGTTGGAAGGCTCAACACAACCACTTCCACCACCACAACAACACCGCGACCGACACCACGACCAACACCACGTCCTACACCTCGTCCAGGTAGAATAGATAATCGTATTCCTCAAGAAAACCGCTTAGAAGTTGAAAATACACGAAGACGTCATGGGCACCACAGGTAATTCAAATGCTGTTTCTGGCGAAATTCAGCGTTCTTTATTCTAAATAAGTCAATTTTATGTTTAGTGACTAAAACAAATATTAGTTAAAATAAAAAAAATGAACAACATTTACGAATCTAAAATATATGCACACGTGCTTTATTGGGTTTGATGCACACGAACACAGTATAGGTCAACGGCGACGTTCCAGCCTTACTGGTGAAGGAAGACCTTAGATGCCATTCCGTCCATTATTTCAGGCATGAACAGGCACCTGTGTAGAACCACCGACGTTCCGTTAGCTACCTTGATAGCTCACATAAAAATATCAAAAGTCCCTTCAGGGATTCAACCATTCAGCACATGTAGATTTAAATGTCGTAAGAACATTTGAAAAAAACATGTGAAAGACCAATTGCATCTTTATTATTTTCCATTTAAGTAATACTATAAAAGAAGGATACCAACAAGACCAACCCATAGTTGAAGACGAGGACCAGGATACTTCTATGTCAGATGAATTTGACAACTCTATAGAGTCCAGTGATGGTACAGAGGTATCAGTTGAGTCAGAGTCATTAGATACTGAGGAATCAGAAGAGCAACCAGCGGGGCCAACACCACCAACTGTAATTAAATAGTTTATAAAAAAATCTTGTCCTATGCAAATATATGCTGTAAGATGTAAGATATATAACGCTCTATAACATCGTGTTAGCCACTTTTTGTCTATTGGTTTATGTCAATATTGTAATCTGACTAATGTTCAGATCTACTTTAGTTATCTCTTGCATGTAATGTTGATAAAGAGCTGATTTTAATCAGACTGGTCAATATTGTTGCTTAATGTTGAAATGACACAATAAATGATAGCTGATTAAGCTTAACTTCTAATTAAGTTATAATAAAAGCGAACATTTATCAATATTACCATCAGTGTGTAGTCTAAAGACTTTGACACTACATTTATGATGTAGAATATATTTTCTTTATAGAACGAGAATAAGAAATCCTGAAAGATGAATGAAATAACTGCGGAATAAAATTAAAAGAGTTACGTATGTCATTAATATTTTATTCCATTATTAATATACCTAAACAAGGTTATTTCTTTTACTTTAGTTCACAGACTACCGAGTGATAGGCGGTCGCGACTATAAGGGTTTTAAGGAAGGACGGCTTGAAGTACGACTAGCAAATTCTTTTACTTGGGGCGTAATTTGTGGAGATCACTGGGACCAACGAGCTGCTATTGTTGCCTGCAGACATTTCAATGCCGGTTATGCTCGACAGGCACAAAAGGTAAAACATATACAAGTATCTGTCTGTTTTTTTTAAACTCAGGTTTAACGTTTATGTCCATCCGGATCTGTGGGCATCAAAGGCGATATTTGTGTGACTCGTCAGGTTACAACGCATGTAGAAGCGTGGATTCACAACAAAGTCGCAATATGACATGAAAAAGGTCGGTGTAAGGGTCTGATATGAATTAGTAACTTGTCGTTAGAATTGAGTTACTCAAAATAAAACTTTCGGTAGTGTCAATTATTTTTTAATTTATATAAGATACATTGATGGTACATATGTGAATTTTCTCAACTATAACCCGTTTACGGATTGGTTTGGTAAAACGATGAATAAAATAGAGAAAAAAACAGAATCCCTAAAAAAAGCCCAACACGGCAAAATTGACAATGTTGCAGGCTCAGTTCGACTGAGCATGTTCATGGACGGTACTGGAAATTGCAAGTTACCGTCTACGTCCCGTAGCACCGGCTTAAGCAGAATTCAACATTTAAACACGAAAATGGTGAAATTTGAATTTAGAATATCCGTAGATGTGTTCATTTAAGCCATTATAGCTGAAGAAAGCTTACTCCTTTTCTTACAGACAGACTATTATGGTGGCAGTGGTATGGATAAAGTTGTGGCTAAGATGAGGTGTACGGGTAAAGAGGAACGTCTAGAAGATTGTGTGACAGAACGCTATGAAGATACTCCTGGAAAGATTGCTTGCTCCAGACCTCAGTCAGTGGCGGGAATTATCTGCGAGACAAGTCAGTATACTTAAACTAGAGTAACTCTTGTGTGGATAATATATGATATAATCAATTGTTGTGATATCTTTTGACGATAAGGGAATTAGTTTTTTGTATGGACTTTGTTTACATTTTGCTACTTTTACAGCACATTATTGCACATTCAGCGCTACTATCTTGAGTTGTTAAAAATTTAATATGCTCTAAATCAATTGTGAAAACATTACTAAACACATATTTGACTTTATAAAGAATTTTTGAAATATGAGTATCTTAGGCATAATGTGCATTTCTTTCCCTCTCCATTGCGATCCTGTTTTGTTGCCATATTTATGCGCGGTGCAACTGTATATTGAGGGGCCTGCGTTCACTGAACTGTGCACTCCCTTTTTGACTTTATATTCTATTATATTTTGTGAATTCTTTTGAGGACTTCCGGACTTAGAGCCAGATCTTAGAGCTATACAAGAAAGTGCATTTTTACGAGACAGATATTTGTATTATCTTCAATGCGCTTACGAAGAAAAATGTTTATCGTCATCGGCAGATGCTTTATATGGATCCAGAAGTAAGATAGATAAGTTTCAATTATTACAAATAACAATAGACTCAACATCATTTTTTTTTAATTTTTAAAATCTGAAATTTCTCTTTTAAAGTCAGATAAAATTTTAGATTTTAGATGTATGTTATTCATTTTGAAGGTTTCTATTTAGATTTAAGATCTATTAAAGTAAACTAATAAACTAAAATATGTAACAAAATCAACAAGAATTATAATTAAAACCCATATATTAACCCTATTGTGTTTTTCATCATTAGCTGAAATAAAGAACATTGTTTTAACTATGGGCAAATGAATATTTACAAGTGTTGTTTGTTTTAAATACAAACATGAAATTTACTTTTTATAGCTTGGGCATATGCATCCAGACGCTTGCTACATTTTTCAACAATAGCAAAGAATATTGGAACTGCTGATTTCCGGCCAGATATAGACAGATCGCAGTGGGAGTGGCATGCATGCCATCAGTATGTATCCTAGGTGATATTATGACGTAGTTTGAAAATTTGAAAAGCCACCAGGGCATGCCTTTGGATATATGAGCCGCGTCACGATAAAAAACCAACGTAATGCGTTTGCGACCAGCATGGATTCAGACCAGCCTGCGCATCCGCGCAGTCTGATCAGGATCCATGCTGTTCGCTATCAGTTTCTCTAGTTGTTATACGGTTTGTCAGCGAACAGCATGGGTCCTGATCAGACTGCGCGGATGAGCAGGCTGGTCTGGATCCATGCTCGTCGCTAACCCATTGTGTTGGTTCTGTCGTGACGCGGCTCATTATTATGTCAAAGTGTTTTAGAATGAGAAAAGAAATGCATTCAATAATAGTAAAATAAAACATACAAACATGTCAGAATCGTAGACATGAAAACAGAAGTTATGTCATCAAAATATGTAGCAGGTGATTTCATACAAAACAGAGGTCACACACCATCGGTCCGCTATACAGATGTTAAGAGAATGATGTTCTTTAATTAGAGAATAACTCTACGTCATATGTAATTATTTAATAAGTGTACGAAGAAGAATATTTTTATGTTGCAAATCGTATGTAAGTGTAAATCAACAGGACTGTTTTATATTACTTGTAAATATATATAGAAACAGATGTATTTGAGTTAAGCTGGTCTTAACCAGTCCGTTTATTACTTGTTTGACTAATATGTGTCCTTACATCTACTTCAGACATTACCACAGCATGGAATCGTTCTCTCACTACGATATTATAGATTCCCATGGTAACCAAATAGCAGAGGGACATAAAGCAAGCTTTTGCTTGGAGGACACAAAATGCGATAGGGGTGTTCATCCAAAATATAATTGCCAAGGATTTGGACATCAAGGTTAGCGTTCTCTACTTAATTTACACGTTATGCAAGAAAGACAAAGGTGCAAACAACTCCAACAAGATAAGTTACAATACAATACAAAACTTTATGCAGCATAAAACATAAACATATGTTTAGAGCCGATACAAACAAAGATGTTCAGCTACAGATATATTGATAATATATTACCCTTTCCAAAATAAAGTGTTCAAGTCAACACATTTAGTCATAAAACAGTTTGTGTTTTTTCTTAATGTTCATTTATATTGATATGGTTTAAGTCAGTGCTATGGGGCACGGGCGTTAAATTGCATTGGCCATGGTCAAGCTCTGTTAAATGGAACACTTTATGCGTTGTTTAAGGTTTTCATATTATGTTATTAACCGTTTTTGGTTGCTTCATTTTCATTGGATAATCTTTTTTCAAAGCATGCCTAATCGGTTAAACAAATAAGTAAATGAAGGTGAATATTTTACATCTATATTTGCCATTCTTCCCATTTATCTACAGGTATTTCAGTGGGTTGTTCAGACAGTTATTTATCTGATATAGACTGTCAATGGATTGATGTGACCGATGTTAAACCGGGGTCGTATACATTAAAGGTAATGTCTTTTACAGTTTCCAGGGCAACTTTTGCAGAGCAATACTCTTTTGGAGACCAATATTTTGGTATTGCTCGACAAAGGTTACATTTGCAATATGTCATCTGGAAAAGGGTGATACCCCTTAAGTCTTATTTACGAGTTTTTAATAAGAGGTTATTGCTCTAGAGGTTGCATTGTAATTTGTTTCATAAATAAAACAATATCTTCAAACAAGTGGTATAGTTTTTATATTTGCAAAGTATTCTAAACATGTTAAAAAGAAGGTTGAATAACAGCTTCGTTTTATTCTTATAAATGCCTTTTTTAAATTTCATGTCAATATATTTAATAAAATGTTCAAATTTCTCCTTTCAGATTGAACTTAATCCGAGTATGCGAGTACCGGAAATATCTTATGATAACAATGTGGCTATATGTGACTTGTACTTTAACACCAGACAAGCGTCTGTAACAAACTGCAAACTCGGATCTTTATTGTAACAGAGCAGCATGTGTTTTAGTGTAAAACGATTGATATTGTGTGAATTTGAACAAAAATGACTCGAGGGGCAAAAAACTAGAGTTGATGAGTCTACTGTTTGTAATGCCTACGTGCTAATTGGAAGCTCAGTAGTGACGTCGATATTAGGAACAGGTGCCTTACACATTGCTGGTTGTCAGCTCTAATTAGCTAAACACTTACAACACCTGTATGGTCGTGCAGTTTTTGCACACATATTTCATGTTTAATGTTATTTTAATCTGTCGGAGCAGATTACTGGTAAATATAGTTTTTTTCCCGACATTCCTTCTTTTTTTAAACATTCAGTGGTGTACGTGAAGATAATTGAAGAAAGTCTGTAAACAAGTGTATTGGAATGACGAGAGCGTGGGTGTTTACCTATACAAAATGTCCTGCTAAAAATAGTTAATTTACAGACTGAATAATGTAGATTCCATACATAACTAGTATCATTAAAAGCCGAAAATTTTCGGAAAAATGTTTTGGGCCGCGCTCTTAAAAGATTTCTTTGAAAGTTAATAACGAAAATGAATTATATAAATATTTATATTATTTACCTTTTGTTCCAAATGCAGCTTGAAATGGTACAAAATAAAAAGACATTTTTATCAAAACTTTTAAAATGTCAAATAAACAAAAGGACTCTTTACTAAATAATTGATATTTATAGATTTTGATTTTATTATTTTTTCTGAATGATCAGAAAAACTTAGATTTTTTTTAATTAACAAATGTCAAAAGAAAGAAAAACTAAATACACAATGTATCTAATCATTCGAAACATCATTTGATGAAAAGTTGAAACATGAATGACAATAAAACATATTTACTATTAAATCTATAGTTGTATGTATATAGGAACAAATAGCATCAAATATTTATCAGTTGTATTAATTAGATAGTTCTTGTTCTTGATAATTTTTTCAAGGTTTGTTATCTACAGATTATATTTGTGTATATGTTTGTATAGGTGCCATACAAAGTGTGCTACCCTTATCCTGCTGTGTAACGTTATTTTACAGTTAGATTCCGTTTTCGGAACCGATCATTATAACGTGAGGCATATCATCATGAAAAATTATTTAGTTAGCCGATATATATAGAGAGCCTGGTTAGATTCCATGAATGTTTGGACTGGCTTTGCTCTGTATTCTTTGGCTAAGGGGTTCTCACTTTCTGTACCAGCAGGTCAAGGGTTAGTTTATATGAATTTTATATAATAAAGTTGCTTTTTTGTACAAAAATAACCAGGCCAGTTGTGTTATTCTTTAACACAGGATTTTATGTAAATATTGTTGATCACTTTTAATTAAAGATTTTTTTGAAACTGATCGTTGTTTGATTCTTATGTTGTGTCCGTCTAAAATGTCATTGGTTTAACATGGTTTCTAAAGCATGTACCAACAAGAATGTTTGTAGCGAATTCTTACAAACAAAATGGTTGGCAATATATAGCAATGGATACATTGAGAGAAACTCCACACAAAAATGCATGCTCGCACTCGGCCCGCACATATGCATGCACGAACAAAAAGGGCAACCGAAACAAATAACAAATTTTTTTTGTGTGAGTATAATCAAACACTCGACGATTCTCATTTTCTCTGATCAATACGAGTACATGGTTCAAGTTTGCGATCAGAAAATTATCTACAGCAAAAATGTTCATAGCAGAATATGTTTTATAGCAATATTATATAAGGCCAAAATAGCAATATGTTTATGGCAGTATGGGGTTTACTGTTAGTTTGTACAAAATACTTAGAACACGTAAGATAGACACAATCGCAATCATCCTTCTCTGTTCTAATGGGAATGAATTAAAAAATATTCTATACTCAAATTTGGTACTAGAAAATATTGATAATTGTTACAGAGTCTCTTTGCAAATATAAACTTTACATGTTATGACTTCACACAAATTAGGTACTTTTTATGTTTGAAATTCTATCCGCTAATTGTGTTCACAATATGAATATAATTCTAGTGTCATATAAAAAGAACTGGCTTTTTTTCAAGAAAGGACCAACTTTACTTGACCTGCTATAGGAAACGCAGCTTTCCAAACATAATTTATTCACTCTTTAAATTAAATTAGACATATTCAGTAAGAATTTCATAGACTTAAATAAATTTCTGTCACTAAAATAATTTACGCAATGGATGAGCATAGTATATCTTTAATAAATCTTACACTGCCCTCTAAAACACTAACCTCTAAAACACCACCTTCTAAAACACTACCCTCTAAAATATCTATAGTTCAATCATTGAAAGCTTTATGGGAATATACGCATTTTAATATTTTCATTGCAAACATTTTAGATAAATTCAACACCTACATATCATCGCCAAAAACTGCCCGTGACTGGATGACTGTTCTTTAGGAATCTTTTTAAGATTAAATAATGCTGTTTTCTTCTCAATATCATTTTTAAGGTAAATTTTATGAAGTTTCGCTATATATCAAAAGATTAACATTTTTCAAGTTTTTTTTAGAAAAGTTGTATACCAAAGTCATGAGCAACAAATTAAACGATTCGTAAAAAGGCTAAAGAATTTTAATGGGAAATAATGGTTTCTAAATTGAGCGAGAAGAAAATCTTCCTTCAGATTGTATAACTAGTTTTTTGAATCCCCGAATAAATGCAATTCATTTATATAAGTCACTGACGTAAGAAAATTATCGTTTATTTTGAGTTAACACACCACTTTATCCGTTAGGCGGCCTATGTTATTTCATTTTTTTCCCTTGAGAATCTTGAATTTGAAATAAACCATTAATTTTCATATGTCAAGTAAAGCAGTCCAGGATGTTCAAAGGTATTGAAATTGTTTTAAGTTTTAGCATAGCTCATCTTATTATATTAGACAAATATCACTTATTTGTTATTTAAACAACCGGAACGTTTTAGAAATAAATAACAATCCATCAGCGGGTGTATATTCTGGCATAAGGAACATCAATGCATTTAAACAATGTAATGGAAAAAAGCAGAACAGCTTTTGTTTGTGTTTTGCTTTATTAGAAAATTTAATTATTCATCATATTTCAAATCCCTGTATTGAGTCAGTATCAACTCTTTATATTACATCGATAACACGAACGGACCCAAAACGAATGTAAATGCTGCAAGGCAGTACGGTCCGACTGTACTGCCGTTCTGGCGAAAACTATGAAGACAAAATTTGCTCTTTAACTACAAAAAAGTGATGTAATCAATGATCCCGAAGAACCAGAAAAATATAACACTGAAGTGAAGTACGGGGCAATTTTTTTAAAGAAAGTATTTGCTGGAGAGATATATGAAAATAAATATTTTAATAAATAGAATACAATCAAAATTTAATCAAATTGATTACTTGTGTGCCTCAACTCGACACCGGTTTCAACGCGGTGTTCCACTCAATTTTGTGGCCATCTATTTGATAAATATTTGTGTGGTTTTGGCGTCCTTTACGCATTCTGTTTTTTTATTCTTATATTAGAAGTTTTGTGCTGATGCTTCTAAAATTCACAGTAATGCCGGGAGGTAGTTTACTAAAACTCTTTAATCAGCAATATAGTAAATATGCTATTTTCCCAATGCAGTTTGCTATAGACATGCGAATGACTGTACTAACATTCAATGAATTTTTATATTAAGCAAATGAAACTGCCAAGCCTGCAGTAAAACATTTGAGAATACAGAGTGTTATGTAAATAACACTGATGCACAGCATCAACTCTTTGAATAAACAGCGGAAAAATAACTAATACACCACCATGTGCAATAGAAATTTTAACATTTTAAATAGAGAAATACGGAATTCCTAAAGAACGCCCAGAACGACAAAGTTGAAAATTTTGCAGGCTCGTTTGATTGAGCTTGTTCGTGAACGGTAATGGAAATGGTAATGCAAGTTACCGCCCATGCCCCTCTAGCACCGGCTTAAGCAGAATTCAACATTAAACATAGAAACTGAATATATGTAAAATTAAAAATCATACACTATAAATTGGATTTCACTTTAAATTATAATTTTCCGGAATGGAATGTTTGGAAATTTGTTTTATTTGAAATAACTGATACTGATATAACGCTCTTTAAAATCAATGCAGAATTTAAAGATCATGTAGATAGTATAAAAGTTTTATTACCTACCTTAGTTTACCTTACTGCACTGAAATAATAGTTTCCATCACCAGAAATATGCAACCTGTTCCACGTGTTGAGTTTACGATACCTGTTTCTGTTACGGTTTTAATTTTGTTTTCATCTCGTTATCATTTTATGAAATGAATCATAAATACATTTTTTTGTAAATTTAACAGAAATGTCCAAAGTTACAAAAGTAACACGTTTAGATGCTTTCATTTGCTCTGTAATTTTAAGAACAAACAAGTTTTGAAATACCTTCAATATTGTTACAAATAACAAATCTGTCGGCCCGCATAGCTCAATTGGGTTGAAAAAATGGAAACAAAGTGTTCCCTCGGAGGCATTAATCACAAAAATATTTCATGAAAATTGCAGACTCGGTTTGTATGAGTCTGTACATGAGGGATAATGAAAAAATGCAATATCCCTCAGGCCCGAGGGCAGCACCGACTTGAGCGGTACTCAATTCTCAACACTTAATAGTGCTGGCATCAATTATCCCGAAGGACCAGAAAAATATAACAACACTGATTTTACAGCTGCCACACGGCACATGACATCTGCTGTTGTGTAGTATAAAAATCTGAAAACAAAAAGATCCCTCGAAGCATTAATCACAACAAAATAACATGAACATTGCAGAGTCCGTTTGAGTATGTACATGAGGGAAATCGGTTGGAAATTTGTTATTCACGGGGCCTGTTCCATCCTCGGGCGAGGCTAAATTTCTCGGTATGATTTGTCTCTAACCTCTGATTCAGAAATCATTTTGGATATGTAGTCGGTCACTTGCGGAGAAATAAGTAATTACTAGTAAGTTATTCAGGAAAGACGGTAAAGTGGATCGGCCACCGAGATGTGACCAACAATTTGTTAAAAAATGGCGTACAGACAAGAAATAAAACAACAACAAAAATACAAAAAAATTAGTTTTGGTCACTGACTAGTTCTTTGAAAGAAGCTGATTTTTTGTTTTTGCTTTACGATGAGAAAGATTTGTCAAGAAATGCCTACACTCTTTATAAGATATTGTTTCTATTGACAAAAACATGCTTTTAATACTGTACGAAAAAAGAGAAGATGAATAAAGTAAAAGAGGAGCCCGTGCTTTTTACGCCAACATCATGAACACTGAATTGGATGATCAAACATTGGCAGATGTGTTCATACGGCGAAAATCATGGAACCTTCAATGTGACACGTTAGTGACATTCCATCAAAAGCGGTAAATTATCCCTAAGTAAAAATATGATACAAAATGTCAACAAGGAAAGGCGGCGTTTGATGAACGCAACACCCACACGACCCAGCAAAAAGGACCAGC